CTGGGCACTATAAATCTAATCTAGCCCCACACAGAGACTAGAAATTCTGGATTCCTCTGGAGTCTTGTCAATCCTGCATGAAGCTTCATCCATTTAATCTCATCAGCAACAACCCTTTCAATAAGCACACGGGTTCGATTTCAGAATCCAACAGGTGACTGAGGTTCAAGAATTCCACAGCTGATTCCTGAGGCGATCAGGTGGACTGTTTGCTACTCTTCTGGCAGGAAGGTCTGCTGGTATTTACAGCTCAGTGAACAGTAAGGAGGGAGAGAGCACCATCCATCAGCAAAGGAGAACTCATCTGCTACTTGATCTGACATTCTGTTTGCACTCACACTGTCTCCAGAGAGCAAGGTGCATCCCTTTGAATAAACATGGAGACAGGAGGAAAGGGAGGGGGAGCAAAGCAGCCAAAGAGATGACTGCAGAAACAAGTAGTCCACAGATCGAGGAGCTCTCAGTGGAGCGCTGCCCCAACATGGGGCCGTTTGGGGATGTGCAGGAAACGCCCTTTCAGACGACTGTACTTTTACTGAGTAATGGCTGCAAGTTGCTGTTCAACTCCTCTCACGCCTGCCACTTAGCAGGTGCCAAACAGCAGTGTGCTGAATGAACACAGGCTTGCCCTGAACCTAAGCCAAAGACTAAACACCCTAATTACAAAGTCAGGGTCAGCTGGTAGGAGGAAACCACCAGCTTTTAGCAATCTTAAGATTGTCTTCCCTGTCTGGTAGGGTCTCTCCTTGGACTCCAATCCTACTGGAAGGGCTGGGATATTTGTATGAGCAATGGTGTCTTCACCAAATCCTTAAATTTTGTTTTACCAGTGGCACTGAGCAAGCACCTTGGAAAGGAACACACATCCAAAGTGCTCCACTTTACTGTGTTCACTTATATAAAGCCTACCAGCTAGCAAGCCATGCCTCAATTGCCACCTTCGGACTCTCTAGCTCCCTAAAAATTCACTTAATGCTCCAGAGACAACAGATAGCCTGAATATGACATCACAGAAAACTCAACATCTCAAATGAGGACAAACTGTGGTGTCCATAGCAACTCCACAGTTCATTTTACATTTTCATCAGGTAGACGGTCCAAGTAGTTGTCACTATTTGCTCAGAATGGGAAGTCACTTAAAGTGATTCTGTTGATTCCATATATAATGCCCTAAGAGATTTCTTTGAGAGGGTTTTGGTGATTAAATAAAATTAACACTTGCTGTTAAAATTTTGATTAATTGGAATAAAAGAGTCCCCTGATTGACTGCAAAAAAGATGAGGCTGTATCACAGGTGAGGTCAGGAGCTCCTAACAACCAAAATTATTTAAAATGTCACACATAAAACGTCACTGATTACTCATGGTATGTGTAAAATTATATTCTGCCGTCTCAATGATCATTGTTTATTTCTCAGTACGGAAATGTTCTGGATTGTCTGACACAGAGCTCCCAAACACTAGTTCACAATCCATACACAAAGGAAAAAAAACCTAGCAAGCTATTTTCAAATGAAAATTTTAATAAAGTATTAAGAATCGTGCTTTTCAAATGACAGTCTAACATGTAGCCCTCTTAATGGATGCAAGTTTCCCACTGCAACATGTTTCAAGCAAAAGAATGTCAAAGGTCAGTTTCCCTGCCATGTTCCTAGTCTGGTATGGGTGTTAATACTTTGTTCTAAACAGCATCTGCCAGCCAGGCCTTTGTAATATAATTTCAGTTACTACAGGCATATATGGAAGCCCCGTCCGTCTTCTAATCAGCACGCCATAATGTGGATAAGAATGTATACTGAATGGAGTGGCTCTTTGCTCTTCTGGAAATGCTGATTAAAAAGGATCTGGAGATGTCTCAATATCAATATTCTTCCTCTCAATGCAACAGGCTGGGCTATTAAACCCCAGTCCCCATTAGGAAGTCATCAAGTTCTCACAGGACATCACTCACAGAGAACGCTCTAATTTCATCTGCCTGGGTGAAATAAAAGAGCATCCTGATTAACTCGTAAGTATGGTCTGATAGGTTGTTAACCAATCGTACTGGCCAGGCAAGTCCAAAATTGCGTTCTGTAAATGCCACCTAGATTTTCAGGGCCAGCCCCACCCATAGTACAGTTCGCCTAATTCAAGTGACTCTCACCCAAGTGGCAATCTGGAAAATCACCTCTTCAAGGGAAGGCTCAAAAGAATTTGTCACTAGGATACAGTGACACCAATCCCACATTTTGTGGTTAATAAAACAAGTCCTGCATCCAGCTTGGCACAAGGCCCTGATCTGATTTATTTCAAGCCAAGCTGGAGGGCTCACAGGAAAAGCTGCTATTCATGAATGCTTCAGGATAGGACACTAGGGTCCCTTGTGGCAAAATTAACATGGGCCAGAAATCTTTCTGTCTCATCTTTTGAGCAAACTTAACTCATTTCCTAAAGAGAACTGGTGTATTTTTAAAAATATACTAACAGTTTTACCTACAAAATCTCAATTTTGCCTGTTATTTTTCTCCAAAAAGGCGTCCTGTCAGGTGATAAAGGGAGGAGTGCAGGGAAAAGAGAGAAAGTGCCAGGACGCCTGATTTAACCATCTGAAATATCTAACGCTTGATTTCCCCCCCCCCTCCTCTGTGTAACCAAATATGAGACGCAGAAGACTTTCCCGGAGAAGTCTAAATACAGCCTTCATTTAAGATTTTCTGCCCCAGTACATAATTAGGAAATTTCATTCTAAAATGGCACGCCTATCTCCTTGGAGAGCGTGCCTCTGTTTGAATAAAAAAGGCGAGGTATCCTTCAGGATACTCAGTATATATTTTTAAACTTCTTATTAAATCAACCTAAGTTATGGAGCTTGTTCAGGAAAAGCAGGTAAGGAGGTGCTTTGGCAGATGCAAAGTTAATTTCCAGACTCTAGCATACACCCCGCTTCCATCCCCGCTTCCCTCAACCGAGCGTTTCCGAATGCCTTCGGCCTCCTTCGAAGAGGCTCGGCTCTCTCCGCCGAGGTCCCGGCTCGGCTCCGAACACTGCCGAGTCCCTCCGAGCCTCGCGCCCAGCCTGCGCCGAGCCGAGCCGAGCGCCACCAAGCTGAGCCTCCTCGACTTTTCCAGCCTCGTCTGGGCGCTGTCCACCACTCGCAGCGCCTGAAACCTCACCCAGCTCCGGTGCCTGGGGCTTCTACTGGGCTGCAAGCCTGCCACTGCAGATTACAGAGTTCTGAAGTTTTGAAACGTCCCCTTTAGGGAGAAAGGGGTGGTGCTGCTTGCACTTACCGACCTGCAAGGGCTCCAGGCAGATGCAACATGCACCTTGTTGCAACGAGCAATTCCCCAGGCCCCGCCTTCCCATCCATTTGGGTTGCACAAGCTTCAAAGAAGCCCCAGGCCAAATTACCCGTGGATAATTTGGGTGCGGCAAGCCAAGGGGCCTCTGCACAGAAAGCCCCAGGGAGCTCTCGAACAAAAATAAGAACACGTCAAGCAGACGGGAGAAATTGTCTCCGAGTCGCTACTCCCTACCATCATGGCGCCGCCTAGAACCCGCTTGTCATGCCTGTTACACATGCAAGATTTTTTTGCATCTTGGTTCTGAAACCGCAAGCATGCTTCGTCTCCCACCCACCTTTCTGCGAAATGGGTTTTTACTTTCCATTGTTTTCCTACGGGATGCAATAACTTCGGCTATTCTGTCAAGTTGAAAAATAATCATTTTTGTTTACTGCACAGCAACCCCTAATTAGGAGCTGTGTGTGCACGAAGGTGTCACAGCAAAGCGACGTGGAATCCTCGCTAAAAGGTCTTAACGAACTCCTCCGTCCCGAACCGAGAGGCCAACGGAAGCAGCGGGGCTAGGAGGCCCAAGGGCGCACACCCCTTTCCTAAGGTCACCCCCTCCCCAAGGAAAGCTGCCTGTGGGCTCACCAGGAACTGCTAACCAGGAGTGGATGGGGCAAGAATCAAGCCTGGGAGTAGGAAGGAGGGGCAAGGCTCCTTACTGAGAAAGTGTGGAAGGGAAGGAATATCCCATTTTGTTTTAATTTTCAACCATCACTCAAATCCACCCCCAGCTAATTAGGAGGGGAAACTGATACCTAAGGCAGAAGGGGGTGGTGCAGCAAGTGGGGCCTGAAATCCGCATTGTGGGTAGATTACATGGAACACAGCCTATGCAGAGTGTAAATAAATACATTGATAAAGGCCATAGAGTGAACGAAAACTGCCAGTGTCAGGAGAGCAAAGGCTGGGAGGATGGGGGAGAAAGGCGGGGGAGCAGCAAGGAGCGGGCATTCAGCCTCACAGCCAGCGTCCTCCTTCCACCTCTACCTTGGATACACCTGTGCCAGCCACATTCGCTTGAACACCCACCCCCTCCCCTACCACACGCCCCTTCCCCTAACCTCCGTCCTTTGGGGGTGGGGAGGAGGGGCTGAAACCACAGCCTCTAATTCAGCACCAAATCCATGAACAGCAGACACTTGATACTCCACCCCAGCCTAGGGCTGGGTCCCCTCCATGTTTTAGCCAAGTTCAAAAATCACTGCCCCAGGAGAAGAGTAGGGGGAAGTGGGATTATGGATATGGAGTAGGGGGTGGAGGAAGGAGAAGAGAGAAATAGAGACAGAATGATACAGAGACACAGAGATAGAAATAGACGCAGCGACACACAGGAAACACCACACAATCAAGAGTAATGATCATAATCATGCCAATAATGTGATGTTCTGATCAATATGGCGGACACTGTCATTCATACAACTACAGGCGCTCCCCTTCCCTCCACCTCAGCCCGGAGAAAAAAACACCCACCCTGGGAGTTGGGGTGGAGGACCCAGAACCAACGTAGGGCCTGGGGGAGGGGAGTCAAATCAGGTGTGTGTATGCGTGTGCGTGTGTGCACTAATTAAAAACCGGGCCTGGAGAGCAAATGTGAAGTGAGTAAGGTAGTAAAAATTATTAAAAAATTATACTTAATAAAAGTACAAATCCCAATGCCACAGGGACTTACTTCATCTGCTTCACAATGGTGCTTTTTCCAGATTCTCCAGCCCCTGTTGGGACAGACAGGGGGGAAAATTTGGTGAGTGTCAGCTTAGGGGACCGGGGTGGGGGGTTGGGGGGTAAGGCATGCGAGGGAGTGGGCGATCCTGGGCACATGGTGGTGCCAACTAGGGGACCAGGTCTCCCCAGGAGCGAGTGGAGGGGGGACTGGTGGGGGGGTGCAGAGTGGCCAGGGTCGGGGGATGGGGGTGGCAGTCCCGGTCCTTACCCAGCAGGAGTAATTTCACGTCTTTGGCGGCGCTGATGCCATCCTCTTTGAGGTTTTTCTCAATCGCCTTGCTCCGCTCGAGGGCGGCTCGCTCCTCTGCGCTCAGAGTACATCCCATGGTGGCCCCTTCCCTGCCACAGCCCGCACGACTCGGCTGGCACGGCTCCCCGGCTCGGCGCGCCCCCCACCCCCCCAGAAAGCAGAGCCTGGGCTCAAAGGGGAAAAAATCACGATAGCCTCCCCTTGGCTGAAAACAAAAATGTCGGGAAAGCAGAACCCCCAAAAAAGACAGCCTCTAACAAGATTCCAGCCGCGGAGACTCGCGGCAGCTGGCGGGGCTCTGGGGGTGTCGAGGCGAGGGTGTCCGGGGTCTGGGGTTCCGGAGCCGAGGGAGGAGACGCCCGCGGTCCGAGGAGGCGCGAGCTGCAGGCACTGAGGCTTGTGCACGACCCAAAATAAATAAAATAATAGTCGAGGCAGGAATCGCAGCCGGAGCCGGCGGAGGGTGGGGTGGGGGGCAGGGTGGGTCCTTCTGCCGCTGCTGCCGGAGGAGGAGGCGGCGCGGGGTGTGGAGGGAGTGAGTTAGGGGGTGCTGCTAGTGTATTTGCATCGCTGTTCCTCAGCCGTCGGTGCGTCCGCGGCGCCTTCGCCGACCCCCGCGCGCTGGGCAGGGCTGGGCAAGGGGCCGGGCCGGGGGGCAGGTCTCTAGCGGGAGACGGCGTCTCTGTTTCCCAGAGCTAGCATCGCTCGGTGGAGCCTACCGAAGAGAAAGGGAGAGCGCGACGGAGCCGCGGGCAGCCGGGAGCTCGAGGGGGAGCGAGAGAGGAGAGAGGCTGGGAGGGAGGGGAGAAAAAAAATGAAGGGAGAGCGAGCGAGCGAGCGCGCGCGCTCCACAGACCGGGCGGGGGAGGGGGCGAGCGCAGCGCGCGAGTGCGCCAGCTGCTCTGCGCACCCCGCACGGCCAGCCGCCCGCTGACGTCAGCAGGGCCGCGCGCCGGGCCCCCGAGACGGGGAGGGGCGGGGGCCCGGGGGAGGTGCGCGCGCCGAGTTCCGCGTAACTAGCGGGGACGCGCGCGCGGCGCGGCCTCCCCTCCCCCACCCTCCCCCCACTCCCCTCAGGCCCGCGGCTCCCCGAGGTGGGCTCTTGCGAGGCCTAGCGGGGGCGGGGCCTGGGGCCGGGCTCGAGCCGGGGCGCCCCTCCCCGCCTCCGCCTCCGCCTCCGCCCTCGCCCAGTGCTCTGGCGGCTCGGGCCTGGTCAACGCGAGCTCGGGGCTGGGTAGCCCGCGCCACCGTCAGGTGGGTCCACTGGGTCGCGGCCGGCGCCGCCTCCCTCGCTCCCTGCCTCATCTCCATCTTGGCTCCAACAGCGCGCCTTCTTGGCTGCTCTCCGGCTGCTAGGGCCGTAGCAGCCGAGGTCAGGTGGCCTCGGTTAACTCGAGGAGACCGTGGTTCTGAGGGAACCTGCGTTCCCAATCATTCGCCCTTGGGGCGTAGGGGCAGATTCGGATTTTTCGCTTCCTGCGTCCCACAAACATTTATTGAGCACCTAGTATGTGAGAAAGGAGGCTGTGAGGAGAGGAACACAGCAGGATGAGACAAAGCCAGGGCCTGTTCTCAAGGAGCCTCTGCCTCCCTTTGCCATCGCGGACCCTGCTCCAAGATTGCCGGCCAAAAGGGCAGCGCAGGAGACAGTTCCCACACGGGGCAGCTTTTGGATGGGAGGGACAGGTTTTCATGCAAGTGATGCTTACTTTCTCAACACAGAGCTTAAATGCTTTTCGCTCATTTTGAAAGGTTTAGTTTGGTTGAGATTTTTGCACTGAGCCCTCTTCTTCTGCCCCTTCCCAAAACACAAATACATTAAATGAATAGATTTTGAGAGACGAGAGCTTCTTCCTCTAAATCTTTTAAAACACTCCCCCGCCCCATCTCTTTTTAAAATAAAGGCCCAGCAACCCTGGGTCAGTTACTCAGCGTACAGCTCATCAGATACTGAGGAAACACATACACTTCTGCCAAAGATCGGGCATGTTCTAGGCGGTCTCTGAGATTTTGAAGAAATTAGTTCTCACTGCGCAAAATGGTTTTACAATCAGTTCCATCAGACAGCCTCAGGGGCCCTCCTAGAAAAAGGGGCCAATAGGAAAGATTGCATGGGGATAGGAGAGGCAACCGGCCAGTGGAAAACGTTTTTTCTAATAGTTGGGCATTTTTGTGGCTCTGAAGGCAAACTTGTTTGTTCATTTCAACAATAGAAAAAACACCCCTGTTTTTGGTAATGTTACCCAGCATAAAAATACATTTGCAATGGGGGGGGAGGCAATTAAAGCCCATGCAGAAGAAAACATTTTTTTCCCCTGTATTTTTCAATTTGTTGTTTCCTAGTTTGGGTTTGCCTCATTCCACAAATAGCTGTCTATGTCAAAAGTTGTATGTAATTTGAATATTTAAACTTAGATCACATTTAAATATTGTAGAAAACTGACAAAGGACTCTTATAAAGAATTGTTTTATAAAGTAAATAACTTCTTCCCCACTTGTCCCTCCACCCCTACCCAGTCTCCTTTTGTGTGTGTATTGAGGAGGGGAGCTTAGGGGATGAATCTGGTTTGCTTAAAATCTGGCTGTCACTAAAAATCAGCCTCCCAGATCCAAAACAGAGCTTAGGTAACCAATATTCTATAGAATTTGTTATTTCTTTTAAAGGTTGCTAGGATGATTATGCAGATCTCTCAGATATAGGGAAAAAATTCAGCCACCTCACCCAGATTCTGCAATCCCTACGAGGCTGCATCTGAAATACTGAAGAGGTAAGACCATAACCATTTCTTTGTAAATGGTGGGTCATATTTTACATTTTAATGCTCTTTCATATGAAGTAATTTTTAATTGAAGATCTTAGACTCTTGGGGCATTGTGGTTTACATGGTTGAATCAAACTATCTTTGATTTTGCGTATATTTATTCCTTCTTGGTATCATACCTAGTATGGTGGAGGCACAAACCTATGTTTTGTGTTTTTCTTTACTCAATACTTACTAAGCACCCAGCAGCCATGAACAGGGTAATGTTCTAGGCACTATAGGTGTTGTATTTCAGGTTTGTCTACCCTGTTTTCTTTTTCTGGGTCACTTTGCATCTTTATAGCTCGGCTTCATAAAAGACTAATAATAATCCGCTTCACCTGTAGAGTGCTTTACAGCTTACGGAGCACTTTTATGAAAATTATCTCTAGTGATCCTCCCACATAAACCTCAGTTAGGGATTGTGGTGTGAGGAGCATCATGGCTAAGTGGAAAGAGCCTGGGCCCATATCAACCTGGGTACCCATTTTACAGCTGAGAAAACTGAGCCTCTGAGGGGCTGAATAAATTGTTCAAGGTCATGCAGTCATTTAGTACTAATGCAGGGCTCCTTTTACAGGTTTGTGGACTATTTGAGAGATAACATGTTATAGGTATTTATTTTATATTTAAATATATATATATTTATGTCTGCGTATATATATATATCATATTTCCTAGACTCACAGAAAGCTTACAACTCCAGAAACCAGTCATATTCTGGTCCCCCCCACCAAAAGAAGTAAGGATAACATCTCAGTTCTCTGTGAGTTATTAGTAATTAGATAATACGACAAGTGTTTAATTTGTCCATAGTTAATTCCTGTGGGAATGAGGAAATTATAGTCCTAACATCAGGAGTAATCAGGGACAGATTCAATTTGGTTTTATTTTATATGATCCTCAGAATTATATTTCTCTAATTGTTCCTGCTGACCAAAAGAATAATTCTCCTTTACCCCACCTTAGGTCAACTATAGCCCTTACCACACATGGTTCAGCATACTTTTAATTTTAAAAGTAGGTGATCAGAATATTTTATATACTTTCTAAAAGGAACAACAAAAGCCTACATTGAGCTGCTTTTGTACCACATGTGCCTCCTATTCTGGAGGACAGTAATTTACCATATAAGCAAGATCCTCCAGGTCTAACTTACAGAATGTGGGCTCTGATTTGATGAACTGAATTTCCATATTTGTTCCCTTTTGAGGGTACTTTAATTAAATATGCATGTATTGACCATCTACCATGTTTCATGTATTGACTTAGACTCAAAGGGAGGTTTAGACATGAGCTTGGCTTCCTGAAATCTTGAAATCCCTGGAATGTTTCAAAACAATTCACATCAGAATCAGCTGGGGTGCTTGTTAAAAATTCAGTCAGCCATCTTACTTCTACCAAATCAGACTATTCTAAAATCTGCATTGGTATCCACTCCCCAGGTGATTTTTCTGTACAAAGTGCTAGGTCTTGTAGAGAATCTGTGCCAATTAATTCTACTAGTAGCTTATATTCTTAAAGTCCAAATATCTCTCCTGTTTCTGAATTCAAATTTTCTTTATGTTTAGTAGTTTTTGTATTTCTGTCAAAGGAAAAACTTATGAGAATTACTATTCCTTATGGACGTTACTCTCCTCGTGGGAAGAAAATAGGCTAAAATGTGTGGTTCATGAGCTAAGTGAAATCAAACTAAATGTCAAACGTATTAGATATTTTGGGGAGAATGGTAGATCACTAGAGGTTTTTAAGTTTCTGCACTAAGGGTTTTTATTATAAAATTGATAGCTCACACTCTAACTTAGTGGTGAATATAATTTAGAAGAATGTCTGGGTAAGGCTAAGAAATGACTTAGAGTTTTCTGATAAATATCTGGCATTAATGAGGGAAGATGCTGATCTAATTTTTTTTATGTCCCTAGAAGATATTATTATCCTTATCCTATTGTCCTTGTTAGCTGTTATTCAGTGCTTCTCTGACTGGTATTAATATTATTTTGTGCACGTCTCTCATACTTACCAGAACAGTGGTTATCAAATGTTATTGTGCATAAGAATTACGTAGGATGCTTTTTAAAATGCAGATTCCTGGGTGAATATCTAGAATTTCTGAGTCAGTGAGTCTGAGGTGGAGCCTGATATTGTTCATTTTTACAATCATATGTTCTCACCCAAGTGATGTGCTCAGGAAACATATCACTGAACTATAAACTCCTTTGAGGTGAGGGAGTTACCACTTTGTATATATCCCAAAAGGTCAAGCATGGCCCATTGTCCACAGGTCATCAATTTTAATGCTATTAACCAAATTCACCTGTCTATAGACAAGGGCTAAATCAGATCATATATCAAAGTTCTTTGCAGTTCTGAGACTTTTTGATTTTTTTAGTAGAAATTTTGTGACTTGATTCTGGAAAACTTTTAAGATTGGGTGAGTTCAAAGAGGTAATGACTTATTTTCAAGTAAGATTCTGATAAATGAAATGATACTGATTTTAAACAAACAAATGGGAGATTTGTTGGTATTTAGGAACTTGTGAGAAGAGCATATGCCAAATGTTTTTGAAGTTTCCATCAGAATATTCTTTGCTAAATTTCTTCTCTCATTTGTTATTTTGCGGACTTCATGAAAAAAATCAGTTTATCATTGTTAGGAATAAAAGATGACATGGGAAGAAATAAAGGTTTTGTGTACTTTTAAACGAAGGAACTTGCTTGAAGCCTTGTAGATAATTGAGTTGAGCTCTTAGGTTATTGAAGTCCATTATGTGGTCGGTGTTGAGAACATTATTTGCTGAGTGTATTTTGATGGTTCAAGAACCCCAAAGAGAGTGTGCTTTGTGATTTTTCTCAATTTAGGATAGCAAGAGAATCCCACAGGGATGCATTTGGCTTGAATTGAGTGGAAAGTTGGAGGGGGCTAGGACTGGTGATTTCACGTTGATAAGACTGACCAAGAGCTGAAATTGAAGTTGGAAGCTTGGCTTAAAATGAAAGCATTTCCTAACAGCCGTGATTCCTGTTGGCATTTTCTTGGAAAACCTTTAATCGGAAACCAAGATTCTTATTTGTTATAATAGGGATAATAGGACTTTTTAACCTACCTGGGCTAGAGTTGACAGATGTGGTTAGCTGGTACATGTTTGTAAAGTATTTAATACTTTTGTCCTCCAGAAGATAAGAGATTTCCTAACACAAAGATTTCTTGCATTGTTTATCATATTCTCTATCTCCATAAGCCTTTCACACATGCAGCTCAAACACATTTAGACATTATCTCATTAGTCTTCTGTAAGCTTCAAGGTCCAAAGTCTTATTACCGCATTGCTCCTTAAAGATAGAAATGTTTCTGTTTGCTCCTGTCAGTTGTGTTTGTGAAGGCAAAAAGTAGGTGAATTTATCTGAATTCAGTTAAAACCAGTTTGGATTGTCTGTAACAAGTGTGACTGGGGGAGGGGGAGGCTATCAATTCATTCAAACTTATTAGAAGTAGGTGGAGGGTGTTTGGCCAGACTAGAATGATTTAATTTTGTGACCTGTCTGCATCCTCTAAAGTACATGTGGTTTGGGGTGTTCCCAAAGTCTTCCAAGTACCAAGAACATAGTGTTCCAGTGGGGAAACATGGTTCTTCAGTTGAGCTAACATTTGGGTGTATTACCTGTTCCCCAAAGGCCTGTAAAACCCTGACCTCTGTGGCAGAGAAAAACATTTTTATAAAATTCCTGTGTGTGTGTGATGGAGCACACCTATAAAATTGAAGAAGGGTAATTCAGAGTGAGATGTATTTTCAACCAGACACCTATCCCATAGGACTTTTAGCTAGGATCATTCAGAGCTTGAAATAGAAAGGAAAGAACTGAACTGATTTTCCTCTCAAGGAACACATGCAGTTGGCTGTCTTTCCCCTTGGCCACTGTAGCCTTTGGAGAGGGCTAAGAGAAGAGGAAAGAAAAAGGAGGAGGGAGGACTCTGAATTAGTTACATCCAATATAAATTAAAAACAGCACTGTTCCTAATGACCAAAGAGAGGACATCTACAGATTTCAATAAAAACATTGAATGTAATGGCTTAAAATGACCAAAATTAAAGAGATGGATGCCCAAAAGCAATCTTAAAAAAATTAATACTGGGATTAATTTTCATGGATTGAGAGGTGGGATGAATGGGGCAGGGAAAGAAAAAGGGTAAATTTTGGGATTGTTCAATTTGATCATCCTTTCTTTGATTCTACCACCTCTGCTTCTGTTTTAGGAAAGATGTGACACCAATCCTTCTTTCCTTCTTTTTTGCTTCTCTCACTTCTGCTCTACTCTGATACTTGGCTTTATCCTACCATAAACATTTCTCCAGTAAGAAAATAGTGATAAGAATGAAATTTTTCCTATCATTGCCTTCATTTATTTAATACATACTTATTGTGTTTACTGTGTTTACTATGCCAGACTCTGTTCTAGAGAGAATACACTGTTGAAAACAACACACTAGGTCCCCTGCCATCATGGTGCATATCGTCCCTGATCTTTGAATTACAGCACTCTCTCATACATTATTTAATATGATCCTTTTAAGAACCCTTTGAAATAGCCCAGATTTCTATTTACATTTTATGCATAATAAAATTAAGCTTAGGGAAGTTCAACTGATTTACCTAACATCATGCAGCTGGTAAATTACGTAATCAGATGGTCACCCAAATTTTCTGAATTCGAAGACAGTGTCCTTTCTGCCACATTATGCCACTTCCCTAAGATCCAAGGTTCAAAGGTTATATCTAAGTTGCTGTTTTTTAAATTGAAGTATAGTTGATTTACAGTGTTGTGTTAGGTTCTGGTGTACAGCAGTGGTTCTGGTGTACAGCAAAGTGTTTCAATTATACATATGTGTGGGTATATATATATGCACATATATATATGCATATATACACATATATATATTCTTTTTCAGATTCTTTTTAAGTTTCTCTTT